AGAAATAGATAAACAAACAATTAAACAGTATTCAGATGTTCCGCCAGATGATATTATACGTTATGCAGCGTATGCATGTCGAATAGAAAATCAAGATGCTATGTAAGTTGTTGTTGTTGTAAAAAAACTTCTTTTCAAGACTAACTCCTTTCTTTTACTTACCTTTTTAGTTGCTATGTAAGTATTAGATTCATTTAAAAAAGAATGTAGTCAGATGTTTTTTTTTAATAACTTTTTAACGCAAAAAGCTAGAACCAGATGACGGTTATATCTGTATTCGATATGGATGAGATACCGTGAAATAAATCCGACTTGATGATAAGATCTACTATTTTGAAGCAAAATTTGATAGGTCATCATTATGCACCAAAATAAAACAACAATAGATCTCAAACTACTCAAATATTCGCGTCTCTTGAGATATGTGATTCTTTATTACCACTGCACAAGAAGCGAATCTCAGCCAGGGAGTTACCTAGACACCTTCTCCTCTAACATATCTATCTATCAGCCAACAAGCATCTCTGCAAATCTTCGTATAATTTGATAGATAGGTTATCGAATGCAAGGCTGATCATTGTGACAATCAATTCATTTTCTCCCTCAGATTACAAGGGACTCGGCGTGAGCTTTTTCTTGTATTAGAAATAGAGATTTTTTCTATGATGTATATGTAAACTTAAAAGATTCATAAATCACTTATTTCTGGCCCAAAATAAGTAAAAGTTTTAGGACTTATGCGATTTTTCTCGTACAAAGCTACAGGGTGCTCGAAAGATCCCTATGCCGATACTTCACAATAGAGGTAGTGAAGAAGGTCTTTGAGTTGATCCATTAAACTGCCTCTCAGGACAGCAGACCACCCCTTTTCAAAAGAATAGGTCGCAATGCGAAACAAAAATCAGGTGTGGATTTTTGTGAAACTCCTCTCCAGCGTACGTGATATACAAGGGTGAGTATAAGTTTTGTTATACATAACCAAAGTGAGCTGATATCATACTCCTCTATGGACTGAACAAACGCGGTTAGCTACCTGTACGATACAATGTAGAGGATTTGTTATAATCTATAGGACGTTGCTATTATGAGCGCGAAGTGGGCTCGGTATGGGGACAGTTGACGATATTTGATAATTTGTAATTTCTTCTTGTTTCTTTTCTTGTTAGTCTTTCAAATATAAACATCATTCAATTCATTTTCATAGACGTATTTCACAGTATCTTTTCGTATGTAGAATCCCGAAAACTAGTGAGTGGTTCTATGTTTTTCTGTTATCATTCTATTTTAAAATGAAATGATGTAATTTAGTCATTTGTATACGACTGTCATGTCGCTCTACGTGTGCGTTTTATAGGCCAACTGTCTTATCTGTAACACTTGCTATTGGCGCACAACAATTATCTCAACATAAAGCAATTGTAACACATATAACAGCTATTGAAGAATTGGCTGCTGTATCAATACTTTGTTCAGATAAAACTGGTACATTAACATTAAATAAATTAGAAATAGATAAACAAACAATTAAACAGTATTCAGATGTTCCGCCAGATGATATTATACGTTATGCAGCGTATGCATGTCGAATAGAAAATCAAGATGCTATGTAAGTTGTTTTAAAAAGGTTCAATTGAATTCATAGCAGAAAACTGGTCTACGGACAGCCAAAATGATGACAGAGTTTATTGTATAAGAAGAGTGTAGTTTAGTCTACATCGCAAGGCTTTTCATAGAGAAGAGACTGACTGGAGATAGGAATCGGAATGTTACGAGAGAATTTTTGCATTCTTAACCACAGCCAGCAAGAAAGTTCGTAATATGAGAAATAACTAATATCTGTATTTTATGTTTTTGTTCGATTCTTGTGCAGGTTATGAAAATTTCT